GTAGCTTTTTTGGGGGGGAAATTGCATGCATGGTTTTCCCACCCACCCCACCCCTATTCCATAGGAATTTCAGGAAAAGAAAAAAGATATATATATATTTTTCCAAGCAGGGATTCTCTTAAATGTCGATGGCAAACAAGAGAGAGATTGGGTGAGTTGCAGGCTGGAGGGGTGGGAGGGAATATTAATCCAGCATGGAAATGTTTTGCATCTCATTCGGAACAGAGTAGACTATGTCTAGATGGGCGGCATATAAATGCAATAAATAAATAAATAAATAAATAAAATACCAGAATCTGGGAAATGGCTAGTAGTGAGCTATAGGCACTGAGTCCTCACCACCTTCTGTGCTGCAGGCATGTTATAGAGGGGGTTAGTAGCCTCCTCTTTTAAGGCAGCCTTCCCGGATCCTGGCTTCATCACAAGTCTTGGACTACAGCCCCCATCACTCTTTCACAGCCGCCTGTGGGCCATGGGAGTTGTAGTCTAGAACCTCTGGAAAGAATCCAGATTGTGGAAGACTTTTTCCAAGATTTGCAGACAACGCGACAGGCAGAATTTGGGTGCGCGTGTGAATGGGGTGGGAACCTGCAGTTAAAAACCTGCAGGCATTTTCAGTTTAAAAAAACCCAAAAAGCATAATGCCCAGGGCATCCCATTGAACGTTATTATGCTGTACTCATGAGTCTGTTGGTCTTTAATATGTGCCACGATTCCTTGTTTTCTGTCTTAATGCCTTTTGATGCAACAGACCGACTGAACAACAAAGAGCCTTTGTGATATTTTCAAGCAGTGGCTCCCAACCTTGGGACCCCAGAGGTTCTTGGACTAAAACTCCACGCAGCCTTCACCAATGGCTATATTGGACAGGATTTATGGGAATTGTAGTCCAAGAACATCTGGGCGACTCAAACCGGCGTGTCTTTTAAGTTGTTTCTACCAAGGGAGATTTTGCATATAGTGCAGCTTTTTCCAGAGGGGTGGTGCATGCTGTTTGATGTAGCAAATAAAACAACTACCCAAAACTCTTTGGCACCTGAAAGATCAAACAATGATTATTGTAGCGTGAGCTGTCACGAACTGCAAAGCCCATTTCTTCGAATGCATGATGCAATGCCACAGATTAATACTGTACAGTGGGGTCTTGACTTGAGAACTTAATCCGTATTGGAAGGCGGTTCTCAAGTCAAAAAGTTCTCAGGTCAAATCTGCATTTCCCATAGGAATGCATTGAAAACCATTCGATCCGTATCTGCTCTTTTCTGTCCATAGAAACTAATGGGAAGCTGCTATTCCGCCTTTGACCACTAGAGGGGGATATTTTGTTTCTTTTTTTCTTAGGTCAAGAAAGGTTCAGGGAAGGCAGGGAAAATACTGTCCAGGCAGTACAGTACCAGGCAGTCCGAAAACTGTCTCCCAATCCACTCTCTAAACGCTGGGAGGAGTGAGGAAGCAGACAGGCACCCTTTTCACTGGCCAACAGTTAACTGAAAGTTCACATTTTGCACTTTCCCTGCCTCCCACATGGTTTTTTTAGTTCTTAACTCAAATCTAAGTATGTAAGTCAAGTCAATATTTTCCTATGAGAGCGGTTCTTAAGTCAAAATGTTCTTAACTCAAGCCGTTCTTAAGTCAAGACCCCACTGTATAAGGTGGGAGTGGGAACTAGGGTACTATAGATAATGCAAAGGTATTGACGTCATAATGACAAAGAATGATGATATAGTTCTATACATGAGTGAGCTTCTCCTCACAGATTTCCATTCTCATACAGCTAAAATAGGTATTTTATTGCCACAACAGTTGGAGTTGTGTTAGTCGGTGGGAGCAAAAACACCAAAGAGTTTGTGGCACTTGAAAAACTAACAAATGTTGTGCATGTTATGAGGGACTTGCTCCCTTGGAAACAAGTTTAGGCTAATAGCCACCATGTTCTGAGGGAGGATTTTCAAGGACCTCCCTCTGAAGGAGGAGAGGAAGGGTGAAGAATAACATGGCATGTATTGCTCAGAAGTAACTACAGTGGTGCCCCGCATAGCGACGATAATCCGTGCGGAAAAAATCGTCGCTATCCGGATTCGTCGCTATGCGGGGGAAAAAACCCATAGGAATGCTTTAAAACACATTTAATGCGTTCCTGTGGGGGGAAAACTCACCGCTATGCAGAAATCCTCCATCCGGCCGCCATTTTCGCTGCCCGGTAAGCGAGAACAGGGCACGAAAACGCTGCGGGTGGCCATTTTTTCTTCCGGTGGCCATTTTGGAACTGCTGATCAGCTCTTTTTAAAACATCGCTATGTGAAAATCGGTAAGCGAAACGCTTACCGATCATCGCAAAGCGATGTTTTCCCTATCTAAAACATTGCAATGCGATCGCAAAAGCGATCGCAAAAAACGCGTCGCTATGCAGATTCATTGTTAAACGGTGCGCTCGTTAAGCGAGGCACCACTGCACTTGAAAATAATTCATTTTTTTCCTAGTAACAAAAAAGTAAGTGTCATAGAGGTTGTAAGTTAATGAGGAGAATCATGAATGCTTTTAGAGTATAACTTCATTGTTTTTCTCTTTTTTTATCTCATCATCATGGCTGCTTTGATTTCGGATGTTGCAGCTCAAAATAATGAACTATTGTGTGTTCAAATTAAATTCTAGTGTTTTATTGTTAAAATTGATGTCAGACCTCATTATTTAGTTGTGTTTTGATGACAGGCTAGTAGCTTTTAGCATTCTGAGAAAGAGAAACAAACTAAAAGCATTTTAGTTACTTTTCAAAACCGGGAAATAGCTGGAACTACTTTTTCAAGCCTTAAAACTAATGGAAAATCAGTGGGTTTCAACCTCCAGATATTTTGGATTTCCGTACTCAGCCCTTGGCCAGGCTGTCCAAGGCTCTAGGAATTGAAGTACAAATCATTATTTTCTACACAGCGTGGTGAGGAGCATGATCATTTGAAAGGCTAAATACAATTATTAGTTTCAACTGAAGTAGGCCCATTAAACAAACATGGTGTTGGTAAGTCACCATTTAAGTAAACTCTGTTGATTCCATGGGCCCATCTAGTTGGAGAGCTGGCTGGATAGCTCAGTGAGTTAGGTATCTGTCTGTGAAGCCAGAGGTTAGGTGTTCAATTCCCCACTTGTGCCTCGTGGGAGAAGAGCCAGCCTGAGTGGCCTTGGGCAAGTTGCACAATCCCAGGGCTCCCCCTAGAGAAAGGGAAAGGTTAACCACTTCTGAGTACTCTCTACCTGGAAAACCCTGGAAAAGGGTTGCCATAAATCAGAATGGACTTCATGGCACCTGAAGGTGATGATAACCTAGTTGGAACCAACAACTGGATTCAGTCCGGAGTATTTGACATGTGACAGGACTCCAGGTTTAGTTTCCAGGAACACTGCTTTTGCTCTAAATTGTTATTCTCATGTTTCTTTGTTTTCCCCCCTCTTCATATATGTCCTATTCCTCTCTTGATTCCTCAGCCAGAAGCTCTACATCCGCGTTCGGGTTTCCTCAGTCGATTCTCCAGTTTTCGGCAACGCTACATCATTTCTGGGAAGTGTCACCCAAGAATGAAGATGGAGGAGCAGGGCACCATGGGACGTCCTCTAGGAGATCTGTTGCTGCGAGCGAGGAAAGAGCATCATCACCTTCAGCCTGGTACAATTGAGGGGTCTTTGCAGAGAAGACCACCAGAGGTGAAACAGGAACCAGATGATGGCTCTCTGCAACAATGGGAAACCCAGTGGCAGGAATTCCTAAAGATAGTGGAGGCCCCACATTCAGGATGGGGGACCTCGGAACTGATGGAGGAACCGTGGGACAACGCCAGAGCCTTCCTGGCCTCCTTTGAGCAAGTGGCCAGGGGCTGCCGGTGGCCGAAAGAAGAGTGGACGGCCCGACTCCTGCCGGCTTTGAGCGGAGGGGCCGAGCAGGCCTTTCTTGGTCTGGAGGTCAAAGGCAGAGAGGATTATGGGAAAGTGAAGGCCGCCATCTTGCGCGGGGACGCCCAGAGAAGGGAGGAGCAGCGGCAGCGGTTCCGGCGTTTCTGTTACCAAGAAGTGGAGGGGCCAAGAGGAACTTACAGCCGCCTACGGGAGCTTTGCCAACAGTGGCTGAAAGTGGAGAGGCACTCCAAGGAGCAGATCCTGGAGTTCTTGATTCTGGAGCAATTCTTAGCGGTCCTTCCCCCGGAGATCCAGAACTGGGTCGAGGAATATGGCCCGGAGACCTGTTTCCAGGCGGTGACCTTGGCCGAGGATTTTCTTTGGAGGCAGCAAGAGGCAAAGAGACAGGGGAACCCGGTGAGGATCTTTCATGGTGGGACACCTGCTGGATCGCTCTGTGGTTTGGTCTCTGACTGGGGAGCCGGAGGCTGGGAGTTCGATTCAGACCGCTCTGGGGATTGGTCTCTGACTGGGGAGCCAGAGGCTGGGAGTTCGATTCCCCGTATCTGCCTCCTTGACAGGCGCTGGACTCGATGATCCAGAGGGTCCCTTCCACCGCTGCAGTTCTAAGATAAATATGATTAGTATAATTACTACTTAACAGACCACATAGATTCACTGGGGTTGAGACCTGTCCTTTTCTGAGGCAGACTGAAAATGGCTTGCACAAATCGCAATTAGCCTTGTTTACCTGTATTGTGATATTTGAGGGAGGTCGTGAGGGCAGAATAAAGTAGACTATCAAAAGCAATCCACCTGGTGGGAATGTAACTGCTTGGTGTAACTAGTAATGTTTTCTCATTACTTTTAAACATCGCTTTCATTTTCAGAGGCACGTTAAGAGGAATTTCCGAGGTATATGCCATTCTCAATCGCATAGTGGTGGTTCTAATGGGAAAACAACGCTTTGCGATGATCGCTAAGCGTTTCGCTTACTGATTTTCGCATAGCGATGTATTCGGAACAGTTGATCGGTGGTTCCAAAATGGCTGCCAGGTAATTAAAATGGCCGCCCACAGTGTTTTCGCTCCCTTTCCTCGCTTACCGGGCAGTGAAAATGGCGGCCGCATGGAGGATTTCCACATAGCGGTGAGTTTATAGCCCATGGGAACGCATTAAATGTGTTTTAATGCGTTCCTATGGGCTTTTTTGCCCCACATAGCGACGAATCCACATAGCGACAATTTTTTTGGAATGATTATTGTCGCTATGCGGGGCACCACTGTACTTTTAAACATTGCTTTCATTTTCAGAGGCACGTTAAGAGGAATTTCCAAGGTATATGCCATTCTCATGAATCCTAACCTTGTCCCCAGAATAGGGTCAAAGCAAAAAAGCAAAGTGTGCCACCTATGTACCGCCCCCATAGCACTTAGGACGCTCTCTGGGCAGTTTATCTTTTAATCATGCAGGCTACGCTTTGCACCCCCAGCAAGCTGGGTACTCAGTTTACCAACCTCAGAAGGATGGAAAGCGGAGTCCACCTTGAACCGGCCGCCCGAGCCCGTTGGGATCAAACACAGGCCATGAGCAAGAGTTCTGACTGCAGCACTTCAGTTTTAACCACTGTGCCACAAGGGTCAGTACGTATTTTGGAGAGCTTTTAAAAAAAAGTTTGAACTAACAGCCAAGTGGGACCCACACACCACCCCTGACCCTTAGGCTGCCAGCCTCTATTGCTTTAAACCAAGAGGGGAATGGCTTCCAGAAAGTTGAGTGCCTTCTCAGAAACCCTCATTTTTGCTCTCCAGGGGACATGGGAAGAGGACCAATTTTGACAGGGTTTTGTTTTGTTTTGGGTCTCTCTTGAGTTGCTTCAGGCAACTTCCCTTTTTTTTTCAAAACCAGAAGTGATTAAAAGTTAAACCCATTAGAATGGGCTACCTTTTGTCTGTCTCTGCGGAGTCCACCTTGAACAGGCCGCCTGAGCCCATTGGGATCAAACGCAGGCCATGAGCAAGAGTTCTGACTGCAGCACTTCAGTTCAACCACTTTGCCACCAGGGCCAGTACTTTGGAGAGCTTTTTTTTAAAGTTTGAACTAACAGCCAAGGGGGACCCACACACCACCCCTGCCCCTTGGGCTGCCAGCCTCTATTGCTTTAAACCAAGAGGGGAATGGCTTCCAGAAAGTTGAGTGCCTTCTCAGAAACCCTCATTTTTGCTCTCCAGGGGACATGGGAAGAGGACCAATTTTGACAGGGTTTTGTTTTGTTTTGGGTCTCTCTTGAGTTGCTTCAGGCAACTTCCTTTTTTTTTTTTCAAAACCAGAAGTGATTAAAAGTTAAACCCATTAGAATGGGCTACCTTTTGTCTGTCTCTGCTTTAAATCAACTAATGAACAAACATATTGGGTGGGAGGAAAGCCACCTCTTTCTACTTTATTTAATTAATTTAATTTAATTAATATATAATATTTTTACCCTCCCTTTCTCTTTCAAGAGGCCCCGAGGCAGTTTACACATAATCAAAAGACGCAGTTAAAGTTAAAAAACGGTTACGTGTACAAATATTAAAAGATGATCAAATAAATACCACACTGAAAGGCAGTAAACCGTCCAGAGTACACCTTTGGTCTAGACGGGTGGGATAGAAATCCAATAAATAAAATGAAAATAAATAAATACTTAAATAAATAAATAAACATAAGGAACACCAAAACCACATTTGATGCAATAAAGCACAGCCAATTTTTAAAAAAACACTCAGGCAGCTAGTCATGAAGGGAAAGCTTGCCTTTATTGAAGGAAAGTTTGTATATGGATGTAATGTGTAAATAATTGATAATTTCAGGTGTCGTCAGAAAACACGGAGACCATGAGTTCCTCTGAAGCAGGGCCAATCCTGTCTGACGCAGAGCAAACCCAACTGCACGTGGTGACCAAGCAGGAGAATGACCACAGAGACGCTGGCCTGTTGGGTGAGCATTTCATTGACTGATTTCAACTATTGATGGATTGGTTTCACCTATTTTTTAACCCGCCTTTCTCCCAAGGGGGCTTACATGATTAAGAGACAACAGGAGAATGAGAGACGCTGGCCTGTTGGGTGAGCATTTCATTGACTGATTTCAACTATTGATGGATTGGTTTCACCTATTTTTTAACCCGCCTTTCTCCCAAGGGGGCTTACATGATTAGATTAAGATATTTAAAAGCCAAAAAAGAGTCAGTCTGCAAATAACTTAAAAAAGATCAAAGAAATACCATGCTAGAAAAGGGTAAAGAAAATCACCACCAAAAACAGATTCAAAGCAAATTTTAATTTTAATTTTATTTTATTATACTGTTTTTATTCTATTTTTATGGGTAGCCACCCAGAGTAGATGGGCAGGGAATGAATGAATGAATGAATGAATGAATGAATGAATGAATGAATGAAAAATTCCTCTCAGAGAGCCAGTCACGAAAGGAAAGCCTGTCTGAAGAGAAAGGTCGTCGTCTGCTTGCAGAAAGACAGCTGACCCTTCGGTCTTGAGATCAGTGGACTACACGGACATACCCATAGAGGCTGTTCCACATTCTCCGCTCTCAAAAGCTATGGTTTTTTCTATAGTGATGTATGGAAGTGAGAGCTGGACCATAAAGAAAGCAGACCGCCGAAGAATTGATGCCTTTGAATTGTGGTGCTGGAGGAGACTCTTGAGAGTCCCCTGGACTGCAAGGAGAACAAACCTATCAATTCTAAAGGAAATCAACCCTGAGTGCTCCCTGGAAGGACAGATCCTGAAGCTGAGGCTCCAGTACTTTGGCCATCTCATGAGAAGAGAAGACTCCTTGATATATGATATCGGCATTTCTCCAACCTTTTTTTTTCCTGATTGAAGTTATTATTTAGTGAGTCTGCTAAAAAAACAACACACACACACACAAAACCCAACAATGCCTCCATGTTGTTTGTGTTGTTTTTAGAGACATAAATCGCTGTTAATATTATCGGGATTTTCTTGCGATCAAACACTGATTACCTTCTGACATCTCCATAAAATCACAGTTCAGAAAGTGATTTTTGGGGAGCCATACAGTGCTCAGAACATATTAACTAGTGTAGCTGCTTAGCTGTGCTATGTGGGGGACGATGGGAGTTGGAGTCCCGAAAGGGAACCTTTTCCCAAGCTTGGTAAAATAAGCAGTCTGAGAAAAGCACGTTGCAGTACAGATGGGCTAGCGTGTGTTCAGACTACGACTCCCATCAGCCCGAGCCAGCATAGCCAACGGAGAGAAATAATGGGAGTTGTAGTACAGCGCCCTCTAGAAGGCCACAAGTTGCCCATCTTTGTGTTCCCAACATGACCTGTTCTACCCCAAACATTCATTAAGGTGTAGCCTAATAATCAGAAGATAAAATATTAGATTTTTGTTAATAGGAAGGCTAGGGGTCTACTCTTTATTTCATGTACTGTACTTATTTGCTTACTTATTTACGTTTTAAGGGGACGTGGTGGCGCTGTGGGCTAAACCGCAGAAGCCTGTGCTGCAAAGTCAGAAGACCAAGCAGTCGTAAGATCGATTCCACGTGACGGAGTGAGCTCCCGTCGCTTGTCCCAGCTCCCGCCAACCTAGCGGTTCGAAAGCATGCAAATGCAAGTAGATAAATAGGGACCACCTCGGTGGGAAGGTAATGGCGTTCTG